TTTGATAGAAATTGATACGCATTTTTGTCATAATTTTTTTTTTTTTTTTTTTTGTTCCTACCACCTCACTACTCTCGTCGTGATTGCCCTACAGCGCGGAGAAGCAGTTATGTGCTTTCCATCACAGTCATTTCGGATGCTTGGCGGGTTTGCTGCCCCGAAGGTGACTCGATCGCGGGACCACGAGGCTCGGAGGCCAACGCTCTAACCACTGGGCTATCGAGGCAGCAATAGATATGGTGGGGCATTAGCATTTCAAGTCAGCAACACACACTGTATTGATGATAATGACACCAATAATGATAATAATAGTAATGATGATAATAATAAAAATAATAATAATAATAATAATAATAATAATGGTAATAATAATAAAAATAATGATAATAATGATAACAATAATGATAATAATAATAATAATAAAGATCATAATGATAATAATGATAATAATAATAATAATGATAATAATAACAAAAATTATAATAATGATAATAATGATAATAACAAAAATTACAATAATGATAATAATGATAATGAAAACAAAAATTACAATAATGATAATAATGACAATAAAGATAATAATGATAATAATTAATAACAATAACAATAATAATAATAATAATAATAATAATAATGATAATGATAATGATAATGATAATGATAATGATAATGATAATAGCAAAATAGTAATAAAAATAATAATAACGATGATGATGATGCTAATGATGGCGATGTCGATGACGATAAGAATGAATATGCATTTTTTGTCACAAAAGTTTTTTTTTTTTTTTTTTTTTTTTTTCTTATTCCTACCACCTCACTACTCTCGTCGTGATTGCCCTACAGCGCGGAGAAGCAGTTATGTGCTTTCCATCACAGTCATTTCGGATGCTTGGCGGGTTTGCTGCCCCGAAGGTGACTCGATCGCGGGACCACGAGGCTCGGAGGCCAACGCTCTAACCACTGGGCTATCGAGGCAGCAATAGATACGGTGGGGGATTAGCATTTCAAGGCAGAAACACACACTGTAGTGATGATAATAACATCAATAATGATAATATTAGTAATGATAATAATAATAAAAATAATAATAATGATAATAATAATAAAAATAATAATAATGATAATAATAATAAAAATAATGATAATAATTATAACTATAATGATAATAATAATAATAATGATAATAATAATAAAGATAATAATGATAATAATAATAATAACAAAATATACAATAATGATAATAATGATAATAATAACAAAAATTACAATAATGATAATAATGATAATAAAGATAATAATGATAATAATTAATAACAATAACAATAACAATAATAATAATAATAATAATAATAATAATAATAATAATAATAATAATAATAATAACAATAATGATAATAATAATAATAATAATAATAATAATAATAATGATAATAATAATAATAATAACAATAATAATAATAATAATAATAATAATAATAATTATAATAGTAAAAATAGTAATAAAAATAATAATAACGATGATGATGATGCTAATGATGGCGATGTCGATGACGATAAGAATGGATATGCATTTTTTGTCACAAAAGTTTTTTTTTTTTTTTTTCTTCTTATTCCTACCACCTCACTACTCTCGTCGTGATTGCCCTACAGCGCGGAGAAGCAGTTATGTGCTTTCCATCACAGTCATTTCGGATGCTTGGCGGGTTTGCTGCCCCGGAGGTGACTCGATCGCGGGAACACGAGGCTCGGAGGCCAACGCTCTAACCACTGGGCCATCGAGGCAGCAATAGGTATGTAGGGGCATTAGCATTTCAAGTCAGCAACACATGATGATAATGATGATGATTATTATTAGTAGTTGTAGTATCATTATGGTTATCATTATTATTTTAGTTATCATTATTATAATCATCACAATTATCATCATTATTGTTACTATTTATTAAAATTTTATTTTTCTTTTTACTATTATTATTTTTTTTTTATTATTTTATTATTATTATTATTTTTTTTATTATTATTATTATTATTATTATTATTATTATTATTAAATGAATTCTTTACTCGAATGCACTTAATAATAATAATAGTAATAGTAATAATAATAGTAATAGTAATAGCAATAGTAATAAAATAATAACTGATAATAATTATAATAATAATAATAGTAAAACAAAAAAAATAGTAACAATAATGATGATAATTGTGATGATTATAATAATGATAACCAAAATAATAATGATAACCATAATGATACTACAACTACTACTACTAATAAAAAGTTTAATAACAACAACAATAATAAGAAGAAAATATAAAATTATTGTTATAACAATAATAATAATGATAGCAATTATAATAATAAAAATTTTAATAATGATAAGATTTATCATAATAACATTCTTAATGGTTGTTATCATGACCATTATCAATATGTTTGATAGAAATTGATCCGTATTTTTGTCATAAAAGTTTTTTTTTTTTTTTTTTTTTTCCTACCACCTCACTACTCTC